ATTAAAAAAAAAAAAAAAAAAAAAAGACAGGTAACTGGAGTTACATATGGTTGTGAACCACCTAGTGTTTGCTGGGAATTTAACCTTCGTCCTTTGGAGGAGCAGTCAATATTTTTCATTGCTGAGCCATCTTTCTAGTTCTCCGAAGTAGTCTTTTCTAGCAAGGAGGAAGCAAAGGATTTATGGCACAGGAGTCCCACACACAAGACTCACTTTGGCAAAGCCCTTAAGGTTGCTGTCAGTCCAGGAAATGGACTGGGTAAAAGGCTTTCGACTTTTGAATGGTCGTTCCTCCTAAGGAAAAAGAGAAGAAAACTAAGCAGAATCAGGAAAGGGTTTCTGCAGACCAGGGAAGACCTACTATCCCAGCCTACTGGTCTCTGGGGAAATTCCACCTGGGAGGAGTTTTGGGATCCTTTCACTTCCCACTTCCTCTAAGAGGTGTAACTGTGACCTGAGCCTTTGCCCCTCTCTCAAGCATCCCTCCCAGGGAAGGCATTGTGGTTACTGTGAGATTTCTTGCTCATCTGAAATGCAAAGACACCTGCTTGGCCAGAATAAAGCACTTCAAGGGCTCCATTGTCTCCTTTTTCTCTGCCCTGATTATTCTATTTCTACCCAAACAGCCAAGAATGCAGTGGGGGGGGGGCATAAAGAAAACCAATGAACTCAGGGCCTTGACCCAAGACTGGGCACACCAGCCCCCAGGTGGTCATAGGGGAGCCTCAGCTGAGAAACAACACTGGGGGCTGGGAGTGCAGGGAATGGAGGCAGCAAACCCCATCCTGATGGTGGCATTTAAAAGCCAGTTGTGGGGCTGCTGGTGTGGCTCAACAGTTAGAACCTGCATGGCATGTCTGAGAACCTGGGTTCTATCCCCAGCTCTTTACCCAGGATTTCAGTGTCTGTACTAACATGGATCTGCTATCAAAAAGAAACCTCTGAATCAGACAGCTACCTGTTAAAAAACAAATTAAGAAATATATTACAGAAGCCTGCTTTATTCAGGCCTTTTTATCTGTAAAGACCCAGATATTTTGACCTCCTAGGGTTTTGTTGATCCCAGGGACAATGCCCTTGCCCAAGTCCTAGAGACAGTAAACATGTGCTGGGCTAGTGCCTTTCACATGCAAAATAACCAGAAGCCAACTCACCCTCCATCCCACCCCTATCCCTGGCATTTCCCTAACACTAATCTCCCCAGGGCTAGTTATAGGCAAGTCTAGACTCACCCACTGAAATCTCTCAAATTAGCCAATCTTTAACCT